AAAAAAAAAAAAAAATACACCAGATGCTCTAGAATAGATTGAGAACTAAGTGAACATTAAATGAGACAAATTTTCGCAGGGGAACTCACCCTAACATGAAAATGCAATCTTCTCATATTTTGTCTGTGGTAATTAGTCCTTTTTTTCAGCGTTTGTTAAGCAATTAGTCAATGGCATTTGGGAACCTTAATTGCTGCCAAGCCCACATATGGCAATTCTAATAGTACATGCAATCATACTAGCACAAATCATATGGAGATGATTGCAAGGAGTGATGTGTTTGATCTCCCAAAAGTGACACTACTAATAGTACATACATACATACTGTATGGAGATGAATGCAGGGAACACTGTCTTTGATTATGTTTTTGTAAGTATTTGTGCTTTATGTATGGTAATATAGGCAGCATGTGGAATGGTTTCATTAAAGGACTTCAGGCCTAAAGTTGGTCCAAACTTTAACACCAAAATTTAAGTCTGTGTGTTATGAATTGACAGATGTAAATTAGATAGTTTAGATTTTCTGCAGGTAGTGTTAATGATGCATTGCACCATAAAGTCATGTTTCATTGATATTTTGGCAGACTGCTGACAAGAATGTGTTAGGTGAGACAGAACACATTCTATGTTGTGCTTGAAATGTGCAGATTGCAATAGTTGTGACAGAGATCCCAAAATGTGCTGAATATATGAAAATAATGCCATTTGGATTAAGCAGATACTTACTTCTATTGCCTTTAATGGCACACTTAGTATCTACAGACTGGGAAATTAATTTGTCGCCTTTTTTTCTTTTGAGGCCAAACTGGAATCCATTATAACCATCCATATAAATGAGTATAAAGAACATCCATAGGACATTAACAGAGACATGGTGGCTGTAATTGAATATACAGTGTCATTAAAAACTATTTGACAGCCCAATATAACAGTGAGGAGCCAAGTAAATCAAAATTATTTCACTTGAAATGGACGCTCGCATTCTGTTACAGTGTGATGGAAAATTATTTGACAATAAAGTGACGATGCTCAAAATTATTGCTTTCCTGTTAAAAGAATGAACATTGGAGAGCTGTATATAGTGTGAGTTTTTTAAGACAATTATTGATTTGGAACAGGTTTTACTAGGTACATAGATATACTGTACTCCATTTTGATGATCAGTTAATTTATTAACTTGTCTCCTTTTTAATTTCCCAACAGTAATCTGAAATGTTGATTTAACAGATAATTTTTGCATGTTTTTTTTAATTTGGTTGTCTGCTCCTTTTTTACGTGGCATTCTATCATAAATGACATGATAAACAACATATTCATATGTTTTGTGTGCAAAAGTTAATGTAGAGGATTAATTATAATTTTTTTATAAAGTAATAAGGCATGCAATAAGAAAACTCAAAATCATTGTCAGATACTCCCCTATGCTCGACACTCCAAATTAACATGATTAATTTTGATTAGTACCTTGGGTTTTTATGAAAGGGAATAGAACCTAGTCCCATGATGATATTACAAGTTAGTACAATGTACCAGTCAAACCGTTAGGCATGATATCTGTAACGTGTCAAGGGCCGAAGGGTACATGTACCAGATAATGAATTTTGAGAATTAAGTGTGTGAGGTAGCGGAACTCCTTCACACGATAGCCGGCAATATCGTTAACCTTCCTGTACTTGGGGGTTTCATAAGTTGTAGAGTTCATTTCCAATGAAACTTTTGGATTGATCTACCACCCTGGTGACTCCTGCTGAATGTAATCAGATTGAGAGATTAACACTCCTCCTCCTTGGTGAGAAGAATACAGAAAAGCTGGTGATTATACAAGTATCATGTGAAAGCAACAGTAAGTGTGTTAATCTGATTGCTTTCGGCGAGAGTCTCCACAGAGCTGGATCAATCTGCATAGATGGATAGTTTCATTGGGACTGAGCCTTAAAAGTAATCACTGCACAGTTATGCCAGACCATGTGATCAGTCAAGCAAATCAGTTTAACATGGAAGAATCCAATTTTGATCTAGAACCTTAACGTATACCGTATGTATTCACCCAAAAATACAGTTTATACAAGGCTAGGCCGGGCTACTGTACTTAAGATTGAAAAGCTGTCTAGCTTGCGTCATTTTTAACCCTATTGGAATCAATCTTGATTGGATTCAGCATAATTTATAATGGCTATGACACAATAATTACATACCACAATAATGTATTATGTGAATCCATAACGTAGATAGATTAGATGAAACCAGTAATGCACATCTGTTTAGTTTCATGTAGATTTTGTTTTTAAAAAAATAATGCAATGTTGAAAGTTAGGTAAACATTTGGGAAAATTTTGAGATCCATAACAATTTTGATTTGGGTCGTGCTGTTTGTGACGGAGAAGGTCCGAGGGGGGGAAATCCGATAGACTGACACCAGTTTCACCAGTGGAATCGTACTAGTATGTGTAAAGTTAATAGGTTTATCTCTCTGCATTAGGAAACGGCAGATATCGACATGCAATTCTGTGGGGAATTTTGTTAGGCTCCCTGGGGTAAATAATTCCTTGCACTAACTCCTTCTATGTGGTAGGATTGGCACTGGTAAAGAAGTTAGGTTGCGTGGGGAAGTGGAATGATGTACGGTAATGACTGGATCTGTTTAATGAGAGAAATTGTGAATTTTACAAGTTATGTATTTTTGTAAGTCACAAATTCTAAAAATTAGAAAATTTCCATAATTAAGTGGTAGATACAAATTGAAAAGCAGGCTACCCTGTAATTTTATTCTATACAATAAAAACTCCACAAATGCTACATAGAAATATATTTTTAATGATTAAAAATGATGTATTCTTAAGGTTGATGTTTTTTCTCCATTGTAAAGATCCAGTCTTTTTAGCACAGTTTGTGATATGGAATCAAAATAGGAACAAAAGGATAAGAACTTGTGCATCAGATCTTCAAATTTTAGTTAACATTTTATTTTTCCTGGAAATTTCAACTTTTCACATACCCGGTAATTACCATTGTCTGGCTACCATGCAGCCATATATTTCAGAGTCACAAAAATTCTTTCAAAATGTTCAATTTTCATAAAGGACATCAAAGAGATGATTGAAAGAAAAAATTAAGTAACTGAAAAAAAGGAAATATGTTGAAAAAATTTCATGGTAGACCTTAGATTTTTTAGAATGCATGGATGAAATAGAAATGGTGCACTATCAGATATATGTAATTCTGTCGGTGACAATATTTTATTATCCAAAAATAAACTTCAGTATTTTTTCTGGGTACCCTTGGTAAATGCAGTAATTTCAACACCATTCCATGGAACATTTTAAAGCTTCTTTTGCCAGACTACACAATCATTTGTTGAAAATTGCTTTGTGCTGGCATTTGTTTTAACTTACACGTGTATCCTGCACCTGAGAAAGATTTCAAGTTAGATGTTGAATTAAACAGAAGACATTCTATACAGTATAGATTCATTACTAAGTGTGTTGCTCCTCCTTGATTCAATTAAATTAATACTTTGATTTCACACTGATTATCCAAGGTAGTTTATGAAAAACAATTGTGGCCTTTTGGGATGTGTTTTTCATATTTAAATGTGTGCGTAACAATAACAGCATTAATTCACCCCTTTCCTCAATTTTTTTCTTTTAATTTTGAATGCAGTGATTATGTAATAGAAAATGAAAAAAAATTAAGTAAAGCCAGTTGCCCGTGTGCTTATGAGAGCTTGTTTTGTACTCATGTTTGTTCTCTGAGACTTATGTCAAATTTTAAGAAAATTAAACTCTGCCCCAGGGTGGGTAGGGCCCCCTTTATTGTGAGGATTCACCAACTTTATAGAAAGATTTGTTTTGGTTCAGGAGAGGGGGGAAGGGGGGCTGACATATTTACCCCCCCCCCCCCTTTTTCTGCCTTATCTGTCTTATTATGTGATCAATTGATTTTGAATCAATTATTTTTACATTTACATTTGCATCCCAGTATTTTAAGATGTACAAGATGGCAGTGTGCTTCTTATATTTACTTCATCCCCGTAATCTCCTGGGGTCTTTATAAATGTCTTTATAAACATAATATTTGATATAAAGGATAAAGGATGATTTCATGAAAATGAAGACGCAGTTACTGCCAAAATTTACTGCTTTCTTTTTGTGTATGTCATTGAAGCTGTTATTCGTATCCACGATACCAAATGATATTGATCATCTTTATAATAGCCTCCCTATGGTAATTAAAGAAAAGGGGTAACATTTTCTGACCACCCTGTATCTGGTATTGGTATTGACTGTTTTATGATGGCCTTAACCCTTGAACTAGATAACTACAGGACACAGGTGGCAGTTCAGATCATAGTGAAATCAGGGCAATGATTAAGACCCCGTTTTCATAGACACCATTGGTCTACGTAAATAGATCCAACTCTGTGGGGACTCTTGCTGAGTGCAATCAGCCTAAATGAATGGCATGCCTCTTCTTGTTTCCAACATACTTAAATAATTACCAGCTTTTTTGTGTTCTGTTTCATGCTAGGCAGAGGCATGTCATTCATTTAAGCTGATTGCACTCAGCAAGAGTCCCCCCAGAATTGGATCAATCTATGTAGACCGATGTTGTCTATGGGAATCCTAACATACTGTTGTGATGTATGTACATACTTTTTGTCTACCCTTTATCAGTTGTCAAGGCACTTCATGATAAATGAAAGATTTCAGTTCACCCCATAAGTCTACTTGCTTTCAGAAACTGTGTGATGATAAAAATATAGACTTTTTGTCCACCTTGTATTTTTTTTTATCTTTCCAGATGATTAAGCTCCCATATCTACCAAGATAGTAGGATATAGTAGGTGCATAGATTTTTCTTCCACCCTGCACTACCATGTTGGTTAAGACACCAGAGTTAAAGCTCAGTGTTAAGCAAGAGAGAGAGGCAGAGACAAGTGTTGAACATACGGCAGCAGAAACGGTGAAGCTTAAGTTTGATCTTGTTGTATAATATTTCAGGGGACTGAACGAGACTTTAGAGAGACTCTAGTGAACCAATCATCTGCACAGGATCGAGAGGAATTTCGTCTTTTAGGAGAGTTTTGATATCTGTTTCTACCAGAAGAAGGAGCTCTTAGGATAACAGGTATGTGAAGTCAAGGATTTTCTGTTTGAAAAAAATTGCTGCATTAAAAGTTTTATGTTTAATGAATGTTTTTAGTGACTCAGAGGTTTGAATATGAGAGAGTTTTTTTTTTACATATTACATGTTGGTCATGCATGCTCTACAGACTAGCATGCAAATTATATGCCTTTATAGTTTAAATATTTACTTCTGTATAGAAATCTGTACCATTTTGCCATCATTGTGGTTTAATTTTGCAAAAAAACTAATTGTCTAATAACAATTACTAGTAATTGAATTATAGAAACAGCAGTGCCAGTACATACCAACCAATGTTGTAGCTTTCATTGGTTAGACAATTGAACATCCTGATAGTATTTAAGACATTACTATTTGTTGAAGATACAAATAGTACTACATACTTAACTTTTGCTGGGAAAATCTAATTGTGGTTAAAACTCAATTTTAACACAAAAACACAAAACTTGATTTTAACACAAAAAAGGTGCATTCAGAATTTCGTTCAGAACTTTTTGGATGGGGCAGATTAAATGTGCATTTGATATACTGGCCTGCCTAGGTGATGTATCCTCAATTGGATAGCAACACTGGTGCTCCTTAATGGAGTCGTCAAGCAGGTAAAATTGCTCAACCTAGCATTAATTAATTGTAGGTTACATTTAAGTTTGCTGGAGATACTGAATTCCTCTCTCTCTCTCTCTCTCTCTGCATACTCGTGTATTCAGACAAAGGGGCCCTTGGGATGAAAATAACACACATGCAACTGGTACTTTATAATGATACTTACTATGAATTACAATACTTTACTCTGAGGTCAACATTTTAGACCCCATTCCCATAGATTTTAGATCGATCTATCCCAGGCCTGTGGGGAGTTTCACTAGATTACTGTCAGCTTAGCCGGCTTAAGCATCTGTCCCGCCCACTAAAAGCAGTAAGGGGGTAATAAACTATGGTGCATGCACGGCTGACTGCAATTTAGCGTGAACCCCCAGGGAGTTAGGTCGATCTAAATCTTAATCTCTGGATCAATCTAAATCTCTGGGAATGCACCCTTAGAGTCTGTGTATGAGATGGTTTGTCATGGACCTCCAGTTATGACTAAGATAAATTCCGATTGCTTTATTTGCCTGGTTTTCTAAATTTTTGGTCTAACTTATACCCTGTAAGATTTACCTTGAATGTTTGGGCCACGTTAATTGTGCTTTACATAATTACTTTTGCTGAATTTTAAGTTCAATGTGGCTGTACTTCTTTGTTTATTTAAAAAAGGACTTCTCAATATTTTTCTTAATTTTCAGTCTAAAATTGTCCCTGTCTGAACACATAATCTGTGTCTACTTCTGTAATTAAGAGTAAGGTTAGTATTTCCTACCAGGACACTTCACCATATATCACAGCATTTGTGCAATCACACCTGTTATTCATGAAAAACCTGCTAATGATTTTGCTGGTGACAATTTCAGTCTTTAAGAGCCCATTCTCAATGGAACTTTCATTCTACGTACAACAGGAACTCTGGATTCTACTACAGGAACTCTGGCTGGAAGCAGTCTGATAAATAGATTAACACACCTCCTTTTGGCGTTGAATAAAGTATAGAAAAGCTGTTTATCATATGATCATGTTGGAAACAATGTAAGATCTGCTAGCATTCAGCGAGTCTCCACTGAGTTGGAGTTTGAGGTGGGCTATAAGAACGTACTTAGCTATTCTGATGATATTCTTGTGGGACGTAATTAATTTTGATTGCCATAAAAAGATAATTAAAGATAAACTACTATAATAATACATCTACCGCGCAGTTGGCCCTCTCCCTATGGATTTGAATGTGCTGGAATTAATGAACATTTCCTATGACCCGATGGGATGGAATGAATGTACCAGTCTCATGAATTGGTCTCATTAAATAGGTCAGTTACGGTAATGGAGAAATAATGATAATAATGATGATGACGATATTTCATTGAGCAGTAAATGACTCCATTCATATTTGTGGCTTCGATAAGTCTATATATATATATTCAATACAAGCATAGACAGAATACGGCAATATTTTATTGAAAAAGAGAATCATCATTTTATTCAGTGAATGTAATGATGTAGTTAATTTAGCATAGATTTTTTTTTTTTTTGCAATCATATATAGATACATACAAAAGGTACACAAAAGTTAACAAGGTGATCTAAAGACAATTTCTATTTTTAAAGAGATGTTTGAGAATTTAAATACTGTCTTGGTAAACAATCTTTCAAGGGTACATTTAAGCTAGCTGTAATCTAAGAAATAATTATTTATTTGTTTTACACATGCACAAATAATGAAGTCTTCCTCAATGATTCAATTGTTTTCAAACTTTCTGCAAATCACATGATTCGAATCTAGCCAGGCCTGATATAGATCAGTGTTTTAAAGTGTGGTTGGAACTTGTGTAAATATTTTGTAATGTTTCTTTTTTTGTTATTTGTATTTCAAGGCTAACCTGCCTATGTGTTATGGCAGATAATTAAGGTATATTATGTTCCATATTTTTTGTCATTAATACTGACATATAGGCCATTCATATTAGAATGTTAACCGCGGTTGAGTTTACACCGATTAAACCGCAGTCAACCAAACCGCATCCAAACCGCTTTCAAACTGACACCGGCAGCGATCAGTAGCGGTAGAATCTCAGCACGCATACTTCCTGTCAAGCTTGCGCTCTTACTAGAATCTGTGCAACATGGTGGGAGCTCAAATGACGATACACTTGTGCGCTTCATATGTAGACATCCGGTCTTGACCACGGTCAGGAGTTTACTCCCATTATACCCACCTCCCGATCTAGGTTTATTTCGACCGTGGTCAGGGCTATGTCGTCCGTTCACATTAGAAAAGTTAACCGCAATAGGACTGAGGTCAGACCTTGACCGCGGTTAAAAGTGCTAGTGTGAATGGGGTAACAGACTGGGCTCCCATGCCCAGATCATTCCATCTGGATCGGTCTAACTCCCTAGGGAGTCTCACTAAATTGCTACCTGAATTGTCTGCCACGCCTACCAAATCAGCTAGGGGGTAAAGTTAATTACCCCCTAACAGCTTTACTAGGCATGACAGACATTTAAGCTGGTAAAGTAGATAGCAATTTAGTCAGACTCCCCAGGGACATAGATAGATCCAAATATCTGTGGGAATGGTCCCATATATACACATATCTTCCATTTGCTTTGGGGTTGCCTATTTCTGATTTCACTGTAAAAATCAGAGATATGACATGTTCAGACTAGTCTCATAGTGAAACGGTATCTGGGCTTAAATGTACAATAAATAGCCTGGTCATGCAGTCTACAAGCCAGTGTTGAAAGGTTTAACACACACACACACACACACACACACACACACACACACACACAGAGAGAGAGAGAGAGAGAGAGATCCCTATGTAAAGACAGGCTATAATTGGGGCCTGCATCTGTTAAATTTCTGGTTTGCTAATTCAAGTTTTCTTTGGCTCATTCTTTACTCTAAATGGTTTTGCTTGAACCTCCTATCAACAATCTCCTAGTTGACTGATTTATGTGATAGGCATGTGATTTTTTCACAAACCAAAGATGGCAGAACCAAGGCGATTAAGTCACAGACAAATGAGATATATGCATATATGAAAGATATCAGGCCTTGTAAATGGATAAGGTATTTACCAACACTACCTACAGATCTTGTTGCACTAACACCACATTGACCACATAATCCATAAAATTAACCGGCACTACCAGCGCGGATGAATGTTAGTGCTAGGTATCGCTTTGTTGGTGCTAAATAATTTTACTGTCTGTTGGTCAGTCCATGGGTTTTGTACAAAAACATGTACATGTATTTTGTGTGATCAGGTGGAATGCAGTTGTTCATGGAGTTTTGTAATATGATAGGTTTGATTTAATTTATATTTTGATAATTTTAAGCTACTTACTTATATTTCAGATCTGTCTTGTGTAAAGAAATTGATAACAAGAATTTTGCTTCTTTATCATCGCTGAATCATTCTGCCTCATGTGTAGAAAAACATATCTTGTCTTTTTGGAAAAGGTTTTTTATTTTTATCAATCCAGTATGAATTTTTTTTTTACTTCTTGAAGGAAAAATCTGTACTTTTTAAAGTACATTACACCCTTACCACATGGTACATGGTATATTGCAGTACTTGCACATGTAATGTTAAATGTGCTGAGCCGAAGTAGCCTAAGAAAAAGAAAATCAATCGTTGTTATAATCATCCCAGAATGCAATTCATTCTCAGCCAAATTAGGAGACTGCTAACCAATAGTGCATGGCTTTAACTACAGATGTCTGCCCTTCCTAAACTCGTAATGTCTTTCCGTACATGTTGCCAGATATTTCATCATTTTGCAGCGAGAGGTCGGGCCATGATGCATGATAGAAGATAAGTTAGTTATGTCTTTTTCGATTGTTTCAATTTTTTTATCCTAAGTGCCATGATTTTTGAGTGAGGGAAGCATAATTCATGTCTGATTCAAGTCAAGTTTGTTGCCTTTTTTCATCATTTTTGAAGCATTATTGATGTCTTTCAGTTGACAATGCCAAATGTGCCATCATTTTTTTGTGATCAAGTTACTTGCTTTATGTCAATCTTCATAGTTATTTGCTATTTTTTATCAATTATGAAGTCAATACTATCTCATACATAATGCCTAATGTGCCATGATTTTATAAAGCTATTATTAATAGGTATAATTTTTAATCCACGAAAATTTGATTTTTGGTTTAGTCTCTTCTGATCGAAGGAGAGATATATCTCTCAAGCACATTTCAAATGGTAGTATTATATTAATTTTATAGCAAAGGAACGTGCAGCAGCACGGTCATTATACTTCTTTTGCCATCCCATCTTTTACAAACCCATTCAGTAATGTCTTTTTGCATGCCATGCCAAATGTTTCTCAGTTCCGAGGCAAAAGTTGTGATGTCTTAATCCAATTTTTTGTTTAATTTATTTTCT